TTGGAATTCTGACTGAAACTTTTCCCACAATCTAAACACTCATACGGTTTGTCTCCTGTGTGAGTCCTCTGGTGCGTCACCAGGTTACAAGTCTTACTGAAACTTTTCCCACAATCTGAACATTCATACGGTTTTTCTCCTGTGTGAATCTTCTGGTGTGTTATCAGACTGGAAATTTGACTGAAACTTTTCCCACACACAGGACATTCATATGGTTTGTCCTTGGAATGAGTCCTCTGGTGTGTCACCAGGCTGGAACTGTTACTGAAACATTTCCCACATTCTGGACATTCATATGGCTTTTCTCCTGTGTGAATCCTCTGGTGTGTAACGAGGCTGGAATTCTGACTGAAACGTTTTCCACACTCAGGACATTCATATGGTTTCTCCAGAGTATGAGCTCTCTGGTGTGTCATTAGGCCGGAATTCCTACTGAATCGTTTCCCACACTCTGGACACTCATATGGTTTTTCTCCTGTGTGAGTCATCTGGTGTAGCACAAGGTGGGAATTCTGACTGAAACTTTCCCCACAATCTGGACATTCAAAGGGTTTCTCTCCTGTATGAGTCCTCTGATGTGTCACGACGGTGGAATTTTTACTGAAACATTTCCCACACTCTGGACATTCATATGGTTTCTCTCCTGTATGAGTCCTCTGATGTGTCACGAGGGTAGAATTCTTACTGAAACATTTCCCACACTCTGGACATTCATACGGTTTTTCTCCTGTGTGAGTCCTCTGATGTGTTACCAGGCTGGAATTATGACTGAAAGTTTTCTCACACTCTGGACATTCATAGTTTGTCCTGGGAATGAGTTTTCCGGTGTGCCACCAGGCTGGAATTATGACTGAAACTTTTCCCACAATCTGGACACTGATATGATTTCTCACCTGTGTGAGTCCTCTGGTGTATCACCAGGCTGGAATTATGACTGAAACCTTTCCTACAATCAGGACATTCAAATGGTTTCTCTCCTGTGTGAATCCTGTGGTGTGTCACCAGGCTGGAAGTCTGACTGAATTTTTCCCCACACTCAAAACATTTAAAGGGTTTCTCCCCAGTGCGAGTCCTTTGGTGTACCACCAGATGGGAATTCTTACTGAAACATTTCTCACATTCTGAACATTCATACCGTTTTTCTCCTGTGTGAGTCCTCTGGTGTGTCACAAGGGTGGAATTCCGACTGAAACTTTTCCCACACTCAGGACATTCATAAGCTTTCTCCTGAGAATGAGTCCTCTGGTGTGTCATTAGGAATTCTGATTTAAACTTTTGCCACAATCTGGACACTCAGTTTGTCCCATGTGAGTTCTCTGTGTGTCACCATGGAATTATGACTGAAACTTTCCCACACCTCAGACATTCATACAGTTTCTCTCCCATATGAATCTTGTGATGTGATACCAGGTGGGAATTCCATCTGAAACTTTTCCCACATTTTGAGCACTCATATGGTTTTTCTCCTGTGCAAGTCTTCAGGTGTCTCAAGAGGTGAGAATCTCTAATGAAACTTTTCCATCAAATTGGGCACCTACAGTTTCTCCCTGGTGTGAGTCCTCTGATGTTGCTATGCTTGCTAAAGCATTTACCACATTGAAAGCACTTGCAGGCCATATATGTCCTTCAATGAATCCCAAGAGAGCTGTTCAGACTAAACCATTTCTCACATTTATAGCATTTCTATAGCTTTTCTACAATGTGGATCCTCTTGTGCATAATCAGTTATGATTTACAATCTGTACTTTTCCCATAATGGGCACAATAGGAGCTTTTCCAACACTGATATTCTTGCAGTCAAATATTTATGTGATCTTTTTTTAGTGATGCTTTAATTCCTGAAGTTTTCCTCCTTTCTTTTTCTGAATGAAATATAATCTCCCTTGATTGTTCATGTAACGTATTCTTGAGTTTCTCATACTCTACTTTTTCTAGCTTGAAATCTCCTCTTAATTTTCTCTCCTTTGTCTCTCAACAGCTGGGAAAGGAGAAGAATTTTGTGGTTTTCTGAAGGAAATTGATAATATTTTGATTTCTGTCTGCCTTTGCTTTCTTTTCCAATGTTGCTTGTTACTCTCAGTTTTCCAGAGTGCTCTTACTGCCATCCTCTTTGTCTGTAAGATTCAAAGAAAAATGTAACTTTAATTCTTTATAAAATGGTTGCAGAAGATGTAAAAAACGGGGAAAAATATACATTACAATAAATAAGCAAACATGCCCCAATAAAGAATAACCTCTTTGTTATGATTCATTTGACACATTTGTGTCCAAGTCCAAATATCCATTCAGTCATGAAATTCTCTTTTTCACTTTGGTGATTCACAAATTCTTAGCAGTGCAAAGGCTTATCATGAACTATATCTGGAAATGCTGGGGATACATTGTAGATTTGTAAATATACGCATAGAGAGAAAAATAAATAATACATGCCTATCTGTATGTATGTGGAAAATGCATGTTTTTAGCCTGAAAAATCATCCCAAAATGATTACAGTCGAACCTTCTGAGCTAACTTTAGAGATTGTGGGTTTTTACCTGATGAAATGATACCTAAACCCTCTGCAAGATTTCATGTTCAGTTTTGCCCATGGAAGCCCTCACCTCCAAGTAAGGGAAGGGCAGAGTAGAGTAGAGTAGAGTAGAGTAGAATAGAATAGAATAGAATAGAGAATAGAGAATAGAGAATAGAATAGAATAGAATAGAATAGAATAGAATAGAATAGAATAG